ACCTGGAAACGTTGAGCTTTTGATGGAGCTATGATTCCACCACTGCCTCCACCCTGGGCAACAGAGCAAGATTCCTGCTCTCAAAAAAAAAAAAAAAAAAGAAAATAGGGTATTAAGAAAACCCAAGTGATAATGCTATTTTCAGTTCTCCATGGTTGGGTGGTTGAGGTAGTTACAATTATTTTTTATTTTTTTTTTATTTTTTATTTTTAGAGTTTCCCTCTATCGCCCAGGCTGTAATGCAGTGACGTGATCTTGGCTCACTGCAACCTCAGCCTCTTGGTTCAAGCAATTCTCCTGCCTCAGCCTCCTGAGTAGCTGGGGTTACAGGTACCCGCCACCACGCCTGGCTAAGGCTAATTTTGTTTTGTTTTTGAGACGGAGTCTCGCTCTGTTGCCCAGGCTGAAGTGCAGTGGCACGATCTCGGCTCACTGCAAGCTCCGCCTCCCGGGTTCACGCCATTCTCTTGCCTCAGCCTCCTGAGTAGCTGGGACTTGCCCGCCACCACGTCCGACTAATTTTTTGTATTTTTAGTAGAGAGGCGGTTTCACCATGTTAGCCAGGATAGTCTTGATCTCCTGACCTCGTGATCCGCCCGCCTCAACCTCCCAAAGTGCTGGGATTACAGGCGTGAGCCACCGTGCCCTGCCCATATTTTTAGTAGAGACAGGGTTTGCCTGTATGGGCCAGGATGGTCTCAATCTCCTTACCTCAGGTGATCCGCCCACTTCGGTCTCCCAAAGTGCTGGGATTACAGGCATGAGCCACCACGTCCAGCCAGCTACAATTGTTTTGAGTTATAATTTACAAGATCGTTATTTTTACTTTATTTTATTACTATTATTATTATTATTTTGAGGCGGAATCTGGCTCTGTCTCCCAGGCTGGAGCGCAGTGACACAATCTCAGCTCACTGCAACCTCGGCCTCCTAGGGTTCAAATAATTCTCCTGCCTCAGGCTCGCGAGTAGTTGGCACTACCTGCCACCACGTTGGGCTAATTTCTATATTTTTGGTAGAGATGGGGTTTTGCCATGTGGGCCAGACTGGTCTCGAACTCCTGACCTCAAGTGATCCACCCACTTCAGCCTCCCAAAGTGCTGGGATTACAGGCATGGGCCACCACACCCGGCCAATTTCTACTTTAATTTTTAATTTTAATTATTATTATTATTTTTAAATAAAGTCTTGCTGTGTCGCCCAGGCTGGAGTGCAGCTGCAGGATCATGGCTCACTGCGGCCTTGAACTTCTGTGCTTCAGCAATCCTCCCCCTTGGATTCCCGAAATGCTGGGATTACAAGCAACTGAACCCAGCTTTTTCCTTCCTTCCTTCCTTCCTTCCTCCCTCCCTCCCTCCCTCCCTCTCTTTTACTTTTTTTTTTTTGACAGAGTTTCCCGCTGTTGCCCAGGCTGAAGTGTAATGGCGTTACCTCAACTCACTACAACTTCCGCCTCCTGGGTTCAAACGATTCCCTTCTCTTGCCTCAGCCTCTTGAGTAGCTGGGATTACAGCTGTGTACCACCATGCCCAGCAAATATATATATATATATATTTTGAGACAGTTTCACTCTTGTTGCCCAGGCTGGTGTGCAGTGGTGCGATCTAGGCTCACCACAACCTCCGCCTCCCGAATTCAAGTGATCCTCCTGCCTCGGCCTCCTGAGTAGCTGGGATTACATGTGCCACCATGCTCGGCTAATTCTGTATTTTTAGTAGAGACAGTGTTTCTCCATGTTGGCAAGGCTGGTCTCGAACTCCCGACCTCAGGTGATCCGCCTGCCTTGGCCTCCCAAGGTGCTGGGATTACAGGCAGGAGTCATCACAGCCAGCCTCTAAATGTCAACTTTCTTAACTCTCATTTCATACATTTGCAAAGTGACATATTTCCAGCCAGACCCTAAAGAGGACATCTGTGCAGTCCCTTCTAGAAGAGGTTCCAGAACAGGCATACCTGCCACGGTGATGGAAATTAACAAAACAGTAGATTGTCTGAGGAAAGGGTGAACTTTACAGAATGCTGAGATGTTCAAGTGTTTTGTTTTGTTTTTTTTTTAAGAGATGGAGGCCAGCCATGGTGGCTCATGCCTGTAATCCCAGCACTTTGGGAAGCTGAGGCAGGCAGATTACTTGAGTTCAGGAGTTCAAGACCAGCCTGGCCAACATAGTGAAACCCTGTCTCCACAAAAAATTACAAAATTAACTAGGTGTGGTGGTGCGTGCCTGTAGTCCCAGCTTTTGGGAGGCTGAAGTGGGAGGATGGCTACAGATGGGGAGGCTGAGATTGTGCCACTGCACTGCAGCCTGGCCGACAAAGTGAAGCCCTGCCTAACACACACACACACACAGATGGGATCTCACTTTGTTGCCCAGGCTGCTCCTGAACTCCTAGGCTCAAGCAATCCTCCCACTAGGACTCCCAAAACGCTGGGATGACGGGTGTAAGCCACCTGGCCATGTGGAGATTTTGTTTGTTTGTTTTGATTTGTTTTTTTGTGAGACAGAGTCTCGCTCTATCGCCCAGGCTGGAGTGCAGTGGCGCGATCTCGGCTCACTGTAAGCTCCGCCTCCCGGGTTCACGCCATTCTCCCAAGTAGCTGGGACTACAGGCACCCGCCACCACGCCCGGCTAATTTTTGTATTTTTAGTAGAGACGGGGTTTCACCATGTTAGCCAGGATGGTCTTGATCTCCTGACCTCGTGATCTGCCAGCCTCGGCCTCCCAAAGTGCTGGGATTACAGGGGTGAGCCACCACGCCCGGCCTAATTTTTGTATTTTTAATGGGGGGGGTCCATGT